GGAGTCCGGGAGACGGCCTGAAGTGCCGCTACCGCGGCCGCCGGCGTGGCAGCCGAAGTAGGCTTAGCGCAGCTCCCGCCGCCTCGCTGAGAAAAACACGGCTCACCGCCAGATTTCCGGGTCCTCCGACTTTTCCCCTGCTCCCCAAGTAGCGGGTGTCTTCCTGGAGCCGATGGTGATTTCGGTTTGACCCTGTCGACCGCTAATTAACGCTAGGACGTCACTAATTGCGGGACCGATGTCCGTGTATCGAAATCCAGGACGCTGAATTTCTACCTTGCTTAGTGATAGTGTCACTTAGTACGAGTTTGTTTCGAATTTCTCATATTGCTTAATTATTTTTGTTACATGTAACTAAATAACAAGGCTGGTAATGTACGTCGCAAAGCAACTAAGGCTATAAATCACGGCCCAAAGACTATTTCGAGAGGAGATTGCCCAGGGTTCGAACCCTACTTTTTGCGCTCCGGAGCTGATGTTACACCGTCCACATATATCATTTTAAGAAAATTGCTAGTAGTAATAATGATCCGGGTATCTGAAGCGGTGGAAATCGGTATATAAGTAAGTTTAATAGGCACCCTGTGTAAATGAAACAGGTACTGAGCTGTCAAAAGAAGATAAATATTCGTGCGTAATTTTTATTACCCTTTATAAATATGTTATAAGCTACATACACGGCATTGTTTGTATTCTTGATTTACTCTTCTGGGGAACCCGTACGTTTAGCGGCATTCATAGTGGCAATTAACCTACCAATTGTAATTTCGGGGCTAAAAAACTTCGCCATTGCCCTCAGATACTTGCTTTCCAGTTATTATGTTTTGAACATCTAATGTCCTGTTGGACTGGAGGAAACACTGGAGTCTTTTCGAAAAGGTGCTCTGGCATCTAAATTGGCACAGTATTCATGTTTGTGTGCCTTTACAGCAATATTAGCAGCCAGTAGAAGTGCCTAGATTAATATTAGGTCTAAATATTAGTGATTGAGATCTGTTCTCTTCCAATAAAAAACGGGATATAGTACCAGCAAGAACCTTTTTTTATTATTCTTCGAAACATTTTTTTATTAAATTAAGAGTTACGAATTAATTTTTTTGCAACTTTCATCGTCACCGAACCCTCTCTCTAAAAAACGACTATTACTTTCTAGCAAGCCGACGAGTTGGCAGATTGCACGGAATGGCCACGCATTGTTATTGCTATGCATAACTAGCCTGTGAGCCAGTTGCCAGTTTTAAAATGGTGTCAAGGAATGGTACAGGTGCACAAAAGCCGTCGAATGTTGCCAGTCTTTTTTTTTCAGTAATATCTTTACAATGTTGCAATACACCCGTTTCAGATTTTTGAAAAAAAGCTTTTTGTTATAGCACGATGCCGAAAATGTGGCCTTGCATCCCCCCCCCCTTTTTTTTTCCACCGCTCATACCCCCCAGTTTTCCTTTCTCTTTTTCGCCCTTTCTTTGACACTGTCATGTCTAAGTGGGAATCTCAAACACAGTACAAATTTTTGTGTCCAGAACATTTTACCTAAATGCTGATGAAAGAAAGAAGAAAACAAGTTATACAATCAGATGAAAAAAACAGAAGGGTCATATTTCACGAGGCGCCCAGGAAGCGCGCTAACATTTGACTCCATGTTTTTCATTTCATTGTCTTTCTTCCCCATGCTCTATTAACAAACCAGCTGATAGTCAGCGCTTCTCTTGTGTTCTCTTCGTCTTTTAGTCCTCGTCCCAGTCGCGCTGTTCTTCAACAGGAACTCTTAACAAATTGCAAAGTTATCTATTCTTATCAATCTCGGATAAATTGTAGTAAAAATCTAATATCCTGTTTATGTCATTTTAAAGTCAAATAAATATACCAGTTTTTTTTTTGGTAATTGGCTTATCAGAGTACGACACAATACGTGGCTATGTTTTCAAATTAAAAATACAAATATATTTGATAACTAGGGCTACGTTTGGGCGCTGGCGTGAAGTGCCATAACATGTAATCACTGGTGGGACAGAAGAAATGACACAACAACCAGAAGTAATAACAAATGCTTTTTATTTCAGCATACGTTTTCTTTGTATCAGTAATAATGAACACAGGTCGCTAGAGGAAAGTTATTAACAAATAGCACAATATCATCGAACGTCATTATGCACTAAGCTAAATACTCGCGTAATGTTTTAAGTTAGCAGCGTATTTATTGGCGCTCATGTATACATACCAAAGCATATAAATACGATAAATGTTGAAGCAACCTACCCTCTGCGCTGGCCCAAGAACGCAAGGTTATGAAAGATGAGAAATATATTAGTGAAGTCCCACTTCAGCCTTACCGACGATTTTAAGAATAACGTTCCGATCGAACCATTATAGACTTCTTTCTTATCTAAATTAATAACGCAGCAAGGACCTTTCCCGAGTATACGTACATACACTGCACGTAATGTCGTCTGCAATAGTAATTTTTCTAAAGCATAAATCCAGAACAAATGGCAGCTTGCTCGCCCGTTCATCAGCGCATCATTTTGGTTATTCAATACTAATTTGTTATATAAGAATTTTGCACCCGTGCAGCGCGTGTACCTACGTTCCCAGCATTTTCCTCGACGTCCGGGCAATTTGGCAAAAGGCATATTGGTTTCACAACGGAGCCTAGTCCTGTACACGCTTTACAAAAATCGTTCATTTAATTTGTTTTAGTTCCCGTTAATGGCATTGCAAAAATGTGGCAATAACAATGTTATCTAAATACACAGAAAAGACAGCGCGAAGTAAAAGTACGTTCAGGACAGATTTAAGAATGAAAAGAAATGTTAAGAACATTATAAATCTTCACATGGAGGCCGCCAGTTGAGCCAGGCTGCCATGCTCGTGATTGTACATACCGCAAACCAAGAGGCAAAATTTACAGCAACACAAGAAGTATACATATATTTAAACCGCAGTATCCACAATTTTTTTCAACACACTCTGCTAAACTCGAACTTCAATAAACATAAAATGCAGGACACAAATATATATAAATCAGCTAATGAACGCCTAATTCAAGCAATGCAAAGCTTTTTTACACGGCTCAAAATTCCAGATGGGTCGAAGCATTTTTGTTGCTGTAACTCATGAATGTACATTTTTTTTTTAAATAAACCGGCGACGCTAGAACACAAGACTAAAGCTCACATAATATATACACTGGGCGAGCAATTATGAACAACAGGCTTTCTAAACTAAATGGTAGCTTTTAGGCAAAGCTTCTGGAGTGCCATTGCATGCTACTTGCTTCAACGTTAGCTTCTTATTTGAATGTGCGCATGCACAAAAAAAAAGACACATACTTTTTTCACGTCCCAGTTTCTCTTGAACAATTTTTTTTTATTAGTCATACTAAGATGAGGCCACTTGATTATCCTGCTTTTGTTTTTAGAAGGTTGTATGCAATGCCATGGAAAGCATTGGCACGAGGCTTTCTACAACATTTGAGTCCGCGTCACTGAGTCTATATTTTCTGCAACGTTTCGCTGTAGTGCCATAAAAATGGCACTCTATTCACTTTTACCGCAGAAGTCGCATGTAGTATGACGCCTTATCCCCCTCCACTGGTTCCTCCCTTTCTGAAAACACTTTCCAGAATTTCAGTCCATAGTGGGTGACAGGTCAAGAACGAAGTGGAAGCTCCTCCCACCCCTTTCCACTTCAGCGAAGCGAACGGTGGAGAGGAGGTCGCCTCCTCTCCTGCAATCGCCTTACTAAAGTGGAAAGAAGCGGGAGGAGCTTTGTAGTGTTTAATGTGAAGAAAGAAGAAGTGATGAGGTCAATAAAGAACGAAGAAGACAATGAGAATGGTACTGCCATGTCGGCGTTCCCTGCTTACTCTACTTAATCAATCGGCTACACTACATTTGGCGACGAGGATGGGATGCGCGGGAAGTGGTATGTGATGCAGAGGAGCCGGAGATGTCTTCGCAGACTTGTGTGCTGTCTAGAAGATCAGACAATTTCGAACAGCGTGTTCCACTTCGGCATCCATGGCTGGCCACCAATACCACTGTCTCGACCTTTGTTTTGTTCGTACTATTCCCAAGTGTGAGTCGAGACCCAGGGCGATGACCTTGGTAGTCATCGTAGATGGGACGACAACCCGTTCTCCACGTAGAAGTAAGCCGCCATCCATGCCACAGATTACTTCCGAGGAAGAGAGCAGCCTGTCACCAGCGACTTCGTGGTTCCAAGCCGACAACAGATGATGTCAAATACACCAGACGTTGACCAGCAAGGACCGCAAACGCCTCAAACGCAGCCTCTTCGTCGGAGCTGCAGAGAGCGAGGGCCTCCAGAAAGATTTGGGCACACAGTGCCATAATCATTGCACTCAGAACTGATTCAGTTTAGTTCGCTCATTTTAGTACTTCTTCTAGTTTGTTTATATTGATGCGTACATTTCCTTAAAGAGAGGGTGAATTTTAGTGTTTGATGTGAAGAAAGAAGAAGTGATGAGGTCAATAAAGAACAAAGAAAATGGTGAGAATGGTACCGCCATGTCGGCGTTTCCGGCTTACTCTACTTAATCAATCGGCTACACTACAAGCTTCCACTTCGTTCTTGACCTGTCACCGACGATAGTCCGCCTTAGACCCTTCCCCCAACACTCAACACAGCTTGCGTCTGTACTTCGTTTCAACTTAAGTCCAGACGCAGACGACGCTACGAGGCAGTAGGACCAATCAAGCAGCGTCAAAAGTTTAAGTCACTAGGCCTTTTTTGTTTATGATTGGTTCAGCGATGATAGAACACGTACTGAAAGACGGCCAACACTATTATGGTGCACATTTAACGCTGCCTGATTGGTACTATCAGCTCGTCGCGTCGACTTCGTCTGGACTTAAGCTGAAACAAATTACAGGAGTCACCCCTCTCACAGGCAGCATAATTGCTGCGACGCAGCCAAGGAGCATACGCACACATCTCTGATGACGGTGTAGCATCTGGACGGACCATTTGGGGCAGCCTCAGCGACCGTGTTCCCCGCCTCTAGTTGACAAGACCTTGACGTTTGCCGGGTTCTTGCTGGCCGTCCCGGGCTCGTTAGTGAGGACCTTTGCCCGGAAGCCGTACTGGTCGGCCACGTACTCCACCTGGCGGTAGTGACCATACGCGTCCGTGTAGCCGTAGCTGCCGCGCACATTGCCGACGCCGTCGCTTTTCTCCTCTCGGTGCTGGTGGCCGTGGCCATCCAGCACATGGTAGCCGAACTTGTAAGGTTGCCACTGCAAGCAGTACCAGACCTCATGTAGCTAATGGACACGTTTCCGGGACACCGTTACGACCGGTTCACAGATGAGTTATAGGGTATAACGCAAAGTTAATGGCAGTGCTGTCTCACGGCCATTTTTCTGCGCAGACTCGGTGTTAAGTTAGCGCTGAATTGAGTGCGTAAGCATGAATAGGCAGGGTCACTCACATCTCAGTACGGATACAGTGCTGGCATAGCGCAAAGTTAGTGTTTTGTGTATAGCGCTGAGTTAGCGCTGCCGTGAATCCAACGCTTGTACCTTGTTTTTACCAAAGGGAGAAAGAAACCTGTCACCCTTCTTGCGAATAGGCCTGTAATCAAAAGGTCAATCGCACAGCATTCGTTACACACACTATGAATGCTTGGAGCATGTTCTTGACTAGTCTCTTTTTGGCGTATTAAGCGAGTTCGATAATTTTACACATGACAATATCATAACAATTAAGCGTCGTGTCAAATTACTGCCACCTGATCGTCATTCTCGAAAAATCCGACGTGTTCGGCGATGAAAGCTATGACTGCCAGGATATCATTGAGTTGTGTTCTACATGGGAGCTGGTCGGCCGGCTTGAAACTTCATCAGCCGTAGATTGCTGTGACGGTGTAGTTATGCTCGAACCCGTTAGCCTTATGAGAAATCGCTAATACATATCACAAGGATCAAGACGGTCTGACCCGTCCGCGTCCCCTGTGACATAATTTGTCTTGATTTGTGGACTTTCCAACCCGTGAGAAGTGCGAGAGGCTTAACATACCAAAAGAAGACGCGTTCCAAAACTCGTACTGTATTCAAACGCCGCGTATATTCGCAGGTTTCGATGCAAGGCCATAATTTGCGCAGTTATGTTCAATGACTGTACTTGCCTCTATATCGTGCGAAATGGTTTTGTAGGTGTCGTTTCTAAGTTTATTTTAGGGCAACATACGTGATCAGTTTTGAAGACTATTCCACGTAAGGATAGTACTATGAAACTGAATCAGTGGCAGTGTTGTACAAGTCCCTCAAAAAGAGGAACGGAAGCTCGTTCCTCGTTCCTCTTGATTTTTGGAACGCGTTCCCGTTACAAGTTCCATCTGCAAGAAAGGAACTCGTTCCCGTTACAGTTTAAAGAAATGGAACGTGTCGTTACATATACGTTACATTTGTATTTTGCTAATTAAAATATTTAGTTAGATTAAACGAACATTTTTTATCTATCCCATTAAATGGCAACATACCAATTTGAATGCCGTGATGGAAGGACGCTAGGAGAAGAAAACGAGCGGAAGCAAGGTTTCATTTGTTGATATATTCGCTTTTAAAAATCTCAGCGTTTTGCCATAGTCACGTTTGTGGTCGACAATTCAGACGAGCCAAATATACTGTTACCCCCATTGCACGAGCGTTTAACAACAACCTCACACGTTTCAATCTAGCAAAGTCCCGTGTTCAAACTTAACAACAGTTGCTTCTCGATACTGCTGTCAGCAAGACGAGCAAATGGAGAAGAAGGTAGGGCTTTTTGAAGGTCAGTCTTGAAATTTACCAGTCCTTCGTGAAGGTTGGACTCGTTCAGTTCGAAGGTGGGAGAAGAGGACAGAGAAGGAAGGTTAAATTCTGTGCATCTCACCAATGTTTGGTATACAAGGCTGCGTATGAAGTATAGTAACATGTTCTTTTGGTGTAACTGGTTTCTTTGTAGAAGTTCAGTGATGGCTGCAGTCGGCCTTAGATTTCTCTGTGTATGAGGATTCGTGGAAGCAAGAAAAGTAACTGAGTTCGAGACGTCCCTTTTTCTGTCTTTTCCTTTGACCAAATTTTCCGATTTCTGTGCCGCAGTCTCGGGCACTGAAAAAATAATCAATGGTCACTAGCTCTCCTGCACCCTACTGTTACCAAGTGAGGACCCCACAAAATAAACCCTAAGTAACAAATAAACTGAGCGAGATCCTCCTCTTCGTAAATATAATGTTTTTATGCTTTTTTTTTCAAAATTCCCCGTTTACAAATAAAATAAAAATGACCCCACCGGACGAAGAAAAAGGAACGCCGTTCCTTCTTCCGTTCCCGTAAAAATGTAACGAGTTCCCGATCCAGTTCCATGGATGCAAAATGAAACGGCGGCGTTCCTTCGTTCCTCCTAAAAGGAACGCGTTCCAGGAACGCCGTTTCGTACAACACTGATCAGTCGACAAGATATGCGGAAGTTTTTTTTCTTTATATACATGACTATTAATGCCTAATACAAGAAACTATTTGGGTGGAAGAACCAGTAACTAAAAGTTGGCTTATCTGCTATGTCGTTGGCGAATATGTGGCTCGGCGACATAGATAGAGGAAGATGAAATTGTTTAGTGAATATAAAAAACACGAGCAGTTTTTTACCATTACTACTGATTGGTACTTGTTCCGCAACAAAATGTCTCGCCGTTTCTTTGCATGAAACTGGTTTTATCTACAGCAGTGATAGGTGAAACCGTTTTGAAAAAAAATATCATAGGGCACTTCATTACTTTTAGACGGGAACGTGCTGTGTTTGGCACCTCCACGCCGAGAATCAAGAAACTTCTTATCTTTGTGTACAACTCTACGTACATCGATCCGCAGTGATGTTTATAAAGTAAAACAACGGCTGATGGAATTTGATGCTTCATAATTGTGTAGACGCCGAAGGCATTGTTGCATATAAATATTTTGGGACATGAATTGAATTGAATTATATATGTTCTACATCATGCTTAACTTCGCAGCCCAGTGGTAGGTGTATTTTCGAAATGTTCAGATAACCAGGAAAATGTTGTGGTGGTTGGTGTTCCTGTGCAGGGTGTAGTTTATAGCTGACCTCTTTTTGGAGCGCAGCTCTTAGGCGCCAGTTTCGAACTTAGGCGGCGTCGCCGTCGGCGTCAGCGTAACCGCGCGCGTTGCATTATGGGACGTTTCCCCGCTAAATTTAGCGAGAAATTTTTCCCTCTTAATTTAACGGGAAAAGGTTCCCCTGAATATAGCGGGAAAATCATCCCACTAAATTTAGCGGGAAAATATTTTTCTCTAAATTTTTCGGGGAAATTTTTTCGCTGAATCTAGCGGGGAAATTTTCACGGTAAATTTAACGGGGAAATTGTTCCGCTAAATTTAGTGGGAACATTTTCCCGCTATATTTTGCGGGGAAATTTACGTCACGTGACCTCAACATCAATTGAGCCTTCTCGATAAATTTAGGAGGAAAATTTTCGCGACAATTTCTCTCTACATTTAGCGGGAAAATTTAGCAAAACTTCCCGCTAAAGTGGAGGCGAGCGAGAGAGGAAGAGGGAGGGTACGGAGGTAGAGTAGAAGCATAACCTCTTCTCCGTATCCTACCCTCCTGCTCCTCAAGAGCTGCGCTCTTATTCGCCATAACAGAAAAAATGTAATATTCTTTTTTTTTCTCTTATATACTTGCGTTTTTTTTTTAATTATATATCTAGCTTGCATCAACAATCATACTTTTGGCGCCTACTGCTGCCTTGGCCCTTAACCGGGATGGCAGAATCGCGAAATAATAGTAAATGAATATACCCAAATGGTGACTTATCAGTGTACCTTATGGAGGCCGAATCCCTGACCTTGGTCGAAGCCGTATCCACCACCCCCGCCACCGTACCCGCCACCGTCCCCGCCGCCGAATCCACCCGCGTCAGTTACTGCGAGAAGGACAGCCAGGATGCAGCACTGCAACAGAATTGGCACACAAGTTATTTAAGGAATTGGAGGTTTACCAGATGTGAAAAAAAAACAATAATTGAGTTAGATCGAAAAAGTTTTTTAGGATTATCTTAGAGGCATTCGCGTTTTGAGAAGAAGTACTAGGATATGCTATCCCGCGTAGTTCGATCAATAAAGGTGAGCAAAAGCAGCTTGTTTTAACGCGTCAGGTGGTTTTTCTTTTTCTTTGTCAACACCCGATGTACTGAAAATGCCAGAGGGATTATAAGAATGAATTAATATATACGAAAATTTGATACTTGTTGTAGCTACTTTTTCATGTAATCACTGGGCATATTTAGGTACTCAACATGAAGTGACAAAAGGTTTTTAATGCCTTTCTTAAAGGAGGTTGCCGCCTGTGCCCGGAGTTTGTCCACTACGCGTCAACACGATAGTTAATAATAATAATAATAAGTTTCCTCCATATACACGTGTAATGCATATGGAGGAAACTTCATACAGTGTCGCAGACGACGAACATATTACCATGATAATGGGGGTCAGGGAAGAACGTCTGTGGCAGCTGACGGCCCTGTGGAACGCCTGGTGGAGTGACTGAAGACTCAGGCGGCAACCTCTTTTTAGGTGGCCAGTAGCTTAAGCAGCGTCATGAGAATAGCATGAACTTGTGCGGTTATAAATTTGTTAACGTATGTATCTAAAAATTTTGTTTATTCAGATTTTAATACTTGTTTTCTAACCCAGTTCGTCGAAGCGACTGCTATATTATTTAGTAGGGAAATTAGGAAGAACAAGGTTATGCTCTACACGCCTTTTATCGTTATTTTACTCTGCAAAATGACTGCAACACGCCACAGGATTTATAAAGGACACCATCAAAAAGTAAACGTAATTGTACTCATCTCCTCTGCACGCAACTAAACCTTCTCTACCAAATGTCGATATCCGCAAAATGCTAATTTGAAGGGAAGAAGGACTCCGGCAGGGGGGCTTTCTTCTAATAGAAAAGGGGTTTGATTTATCGATGAATTTGACACCCTCGTTCCAGGATTTAACCCAAATACCCGTTGTTCTTTCTGAGGTAGGGTCTCTCTCGTGGCATTTATTCGTTCGTGTTTTTTGTTGGGTAACTTCCGCACTTCGTTAAGGGGAATAGCCTCTGTTATGACCATCCCTCAGGATGATCTACTACCACAATCACACTTTCTGAGTCTATGATTGACTCGACTTTACTTTGAACAATATAAATGTGCAACCGCATGGCCAGTAGTTACCTTGGCGCTGCCGGAGGTTGAGCGTATCAGAGATCCACAGGAGTAAAGCCTTATACTGTTTATATGCATAAACTAGTGCTTGCGTTATAAATAGTTCTAGACAGTCGACCTTTACGAAGTGAATAGCTAAACCTCGATGCCTCAAACAGATTGAAAATGCGATCCTTGAGATACCTTCATTGTGAATGCGCTCAATGCATTTGGTAGTGTCTCTATTTTTACTTTATTGGCTTTAGTAACTGAAAGGGTTTTATTGATTACTTGAAACGGGTCTTCTTGAAAAATTTAGTTATGTTGGTTTTGTTCTGTCATAAGGTATCAAGGAGATTCGATTTTTATGAGTGTTTAGTACGCTGAATAACATTAGTTTTTGGGCTTGTTATTACAGCGGCTTCGAAAGATTGGCACTGATTTGCAATCTAAATAGCGAAACCAAAGTTTTTTTTTTACAATAATTTGTAATAAAGCACGTTTTGGCATTGCGTTTGAAAAATTTGATTCGTTGATGGAATCTTTGAATTCTTTGAACAAAAATAATTTTTTCCACTTATACTGCGCTCTAAATTACAACATGGAGTCGTTATTTCCTTTATTTTAGTATTTTTGGGTATTGGCAAGTTAACAATATATCTCTGCCGATCACATAAAAGAAGCAAGAGAGGGTGGCATTTTAAAATAATTTCAGTTTGCATAAGTGTTCGCATAAAATCTTGGCGAAGACGTTTAAAATGTTGCTAATTCCAACATATTGTCTAGACCTCCCATAACTCATCAGCGCTTTACTTTTGTGAATAATACGTTTTGCTCTCGGTTTGTAAATAAAATTTCTCACTTTGGTCGCACTTAATTTGGTGTCATTTAAATTATTACGTCACACTTATCAACAATAATTTCTTTAAAATCTACTTCGACGGCGTCTTCTTCACCTCACTGATTTATATGCATTCTGAACAGACATAATTGCAGCCCGACACCTAGTTAAAATAAATCTGTATCTCCTGAGTGTAGCTATTATAAAAACACAATTTGTAATGTGAAGGAGTGTTGTAATATATTATTGAGTGTTCGCTAAAACGTTCTCACAAAGGGTTTCCCGGCGATTGTGCAAGCTTGATGCATTAAAATATGTCAGACAATGTGTGTGCTCTGGATATGCTACCAAAATAACCCTATATTTAGAAGAAATTTCCACAAAATAGAATAATTTACATTTCGTGTAATCCAATACGAAATCTGCACATTTCTAAAATTCAAAGTCCGTATGTGTATTTCTGTGAACAGTTTGCGAAAGTTTGTCGGCAATTAATCCACTTATATTATACAACAAATCGCAGCCTCTTCGACAAAAAAGTATTAAGCTCTCCTATTATCCGTTCAGGTTATTAACCAACGGAAAATCACAGGGGCTGGCTAAGATGACTATTCGAATTCACTTGAAACACAAAAACACTCGAGCATCAGTCGCGCCCTTGTGCAATTTATTCGGAATTTTTATTTTTGAGATTATTAAACCTTCTACCCGCGACTAGCGAAGTAAAAACCCTACACAAGCAACGCCCCAGCGTGTTCCTTAGTACAATATTGAATTATATAAATTTTCTATAAATATACCTTCTACAAGAAAACTGTAGGGGCACTTTTTTTCGTCTTTGTGGGCAAAGCTTGCGTCTGATACGAATAACCAAACCTAAAGGCTTGAGAATTGGCTTCAGGACTCGTATGAAGCACGAAACGGATCCCCAAGCACAACGAAAGAATAATTTGCCATGTAGGAAACCTTTCTATACACTGATACTCTGCACGAAACAAACACTTATTTTGGGAGAGCCCGTCGCGCGTCGTGAAACCTCAACATGTGCGCCTATCATTTCCGGTTCGAACCTAGAGCGCTTCCCACGTCTGCCCCCGCCCACTCACCTGTGTTACCATCATGGCCGCACGAAGCAAAATCAACCTAAGGCGCGTCACCGGTAATCCTGGAGCGCAGCCTGTAGTCCTCATTCACGTCAAGTGGATGGAGCGGCCGAAGGTGGCCTGTTTTTCCCTTTTATGGCGGGCGGTACTCCGGAGAGAAAGTGAAGCCCCTGTCAGTGCTATAGTTCACGCATGGCCACATCACCGAGCAGCCGTTTCTGAATGGTCGGTGGCGCCGCTGGTCCAGTGCATTTCTCGCGGTGCTTGAGGAACCGCGGCATCTGAAGCGTGGCACGTGCAAAGATTGAGGCGTTAAGCGCGCTCGGGTTTTGTGCCTCCCGGTTCCTCTTCCGCTCTCCGTGATCGGAATGCCAGAAAAACTCTCGTTTTGTTACTCCTAAAGACAACCGGGACCAGAAAAAAAGGCTAGTGTACAATATACAGGTGACCTATAGCTGTGCACAGTTCATAATTATGTGTATTTTACAAATCCGTGACGCAAGAGGAAGGTACGCTCAAAAAAGTTTTAGAAAACGTGCGTTTTAAATAAAGCTCCGGTTCGTAAATATGATTCAGCACATTCAGGACTGATGCCCCGACAGAACCATACATGGTTTTATCATGACCTACGAGAGCTTCAGAACGCTCTTGTGATATATATATAAATATATATATATATAGATAGATAGATATAGATAGAGAGAGAGAGATACGTGCTTCAAGACAGTGGCATCACGACGCGGCTCCTAGCGGGAGCATTTCGCATTGAAGACGGGCGGAATGGCATAGACATCCGGTGTAGCAGCCAACTTTTGTTTCTAGCGAATGTCAGATAACCTGCGCACAGCGCTAAACAAAAGGTTTGTGGCGACACTCCACCCTAACTTTAATTACACGAGGTCCGGAAATTAAAAGCACACATCCCCTCCGTGAACCGGTGAATGCCGTCGCGATCATCTCAATCCCAGTACATCTACTCGAATGGCCGGCGAGCAAAGAGCAATCTGACTATAAAAGAGACGAAAAGTACTTCTTATGAAGGGTTTAATGAATTCAGGCACCGGTAGATGTCGTCCTATATTGATTTCCGGACTGCCCAGCACATATACGCTATGTAGACGCACAAATTCCACCGTAGATCAACAACAAAAAATATGGCGGTGTGTTGCCGCCGTTGCCACTTACAACTGTGAGACACACAATTGAACCTGAGCTCGCGGCAACTCCTGTGGGTCGAAGGAAGTAAAATCCCATGCAAAGCAACACAACCGCGGGTAGGTTTTTGAATTTTAAGAGGCGAAAACTTTACTCTGGAGCGAGATAGAGAAACACGACTGTGGGAAGGGGCAGACACGGCCAAGACGCTACAGGAGTATTAGAAGAGGCCAGTGTGGCTAGCGCTTCACATCACGACAGAACCAGGACGCTGTCGCTGGTGGCACTGCCAACCATTTTCTATTACATTTGTGCATAGAGAGAGTTTGGTCAATGGTAGGAGCGGGCAGAGCCAGGGCGTGCACCAGACGCAAACAAAAGGCTTGACATGCTTTTTGGCCAATCATAAGCCGAAAAGAATCACATAACGGTGGTAGCGAGAAGCAGTTTTAATCATAGATATGTAATTTTTATAAGCGCATAAGAGTTAAATGTAGCAACCCTTCATGGTTGAATCAAAATGAGTTGTCGGTCTAGCTGGTTCCGCATAATTACAATGTAGCGCAAAGACAACACAGGATAGAGACAGAGATAGGAAAGAACGCTACTCACAACTAAAGTCACTGGATCCTGGGAAAGTAGCGCCGTTGCCTCCCCTACCTGCTAGCCGGACACAAACGGATACTAACATACAGACGACCCAAACCTAGCAAGGCGATTGGCTAATCGGTATATGTTGCCATGGAAATCGCCATCTTGGTCCATTTAAACCTTCGAAGCTTCCAGAGGGTCGTTCTAAACCAGTCGCGCCATGATTACCATGGAGCATCATCGTACTGAAGGCGTTCCTCGCCAATATAAGGGTCTTTGGCACTCTGCATGCAATCAACTTATTATTCATGCCCATCTCCACGGATCTCTTATAATTGTATTGTTCTTCTTGCGTATTTCAATACAGTAAACTTATTTTTCAGTGCCTCCAAGCACCGACACAGCATCTGGTGGTGGTACGAAGGTGTACGCTTGTTTCGCCGGTGTGTGGTTAGCAATATCTCGGTATACAGAAAACCACTCCATAAAGCTACCCGTCACCAGCGAATCTAGATCGGCTCACCAAGAACGGAGGGGTCAAGGAGAAATTGCTCATTTCACGGACCAAGATGGCGACCACACGGGGAACTTGGCGTTACTTTCCCAGGATCCAGTGACTTTACTCACAACTAGGTATTTACTGTATGTATCCTGAAAGAGGTAAACAAAGTGACAAATGCGATGAAAATCTTCACTAATGGTCGTGAAAGAGGCGAACGAAGTGACAAATGCGATGAGACTCAGAGAAAAAAAAAACAAGACACTCCGAACTACACTGATGATCGACTTAAATTACCCCTCCAAAAAGAAGAACAAAGGATTGAGAAATATTTTCAGTTACTCGCTAGATTTAAGAAAAATCGTCTAGATATTGCTGCTCTTTTTGAGACAGTGCGACAGAGGGCGCACCTATGCACTTGGTCCTACTTGGTCCCGTGAGCCATGATAGTTTTAGCCTCATGTATCTCTCTTGCTTTCTTGCTGTGATTTCGCTTGAGGACTCTAGTTTTATTGAACACAGGGGTGCAGGCACAGTCTTTGACATGGATGGCGAGATGCCCTGATGGTGATGATTGAAGAGCCAAGGCATGATCTCGTAATCGCACGTTCACACAGTGGCCTGTTTGTCCTATGTACACACTCCCACAGGAGCATGGCGCCTGGCGCACAAATTATGACGGTCGTTCCATAAGTCGCGCTCTTCCACCACGATTTTGGACGGCCGTGATTGAAACATCACGTGCACCATATTTTTAGTCACAGAGAGTTACTCTGACGCACTTATTACTTTCCTTTCTCGCGGTCACTGCCAGGGTATTGTTTCCGGCTTGTGATTGTCCACATTCGAATTTGTGCAGACGCCCTGGAGCACGCCCAGCACGCTTTCGGCCAATTGCGTCTCCTCATTTGACTCTTATGCTTCCCAATGAATGGCCAAACTCTCTGTATTTACGAATCTGTCTTCTATGAGAGAGCGCCGCGCCCTCTTTAAAGTCGCACGCTCCCTGCAGGCGGAGTGGCAATAGCAAGCTACTTACAGAAAAGCTTGCTCACTGCAAGCGTTCCCGCGTCACTCGGTCGGTCGGCTCTTCAAAACGGCGGTGCCAAATTTTTGAGTCTTAAGAAATGAAGACTGGATCAATTAAAATGAATCAGTACTAATATTCAAGGCGCATGACAAATTAAGGATATCTAGCTGCGTTTTTAGTGTCAAAATTGAAGAAAGCACTTGATAATTACAGTACAGAATCGAGATACGTTGCGAAACTTACTGACCGACACCTTTTGATGCAACTTTTGTGAGTGAGAATAGCTGGTAACTCACATGACCATATTCATGTGCGTTGACGAACAAAGCAAGAATTTGAAGCGGGTGCTGCAGTTGGTTTTCCCTCTCTTTTATTATACAGCCTTGCTAGCTTAGACGTTTTTTGTAGAAGATTGGATCGGGGATCGAGGCTTCCTTTACTGGGGACGAGTGGCACTACGAGCGAGCGGTAATAGCTAGACGAACAAATACATGGGACTCTATGGCAGAAACGGGCAAAACTTGAATTGTTTTTCCTCGGCCTTGAAATATACCTCTTGTGTTTTCCGATAAAAACTTTTAAAATATATTTGCCGTCTTGACATCAAAACTGGCTGGACACTACTCTTCTATAAATAAATATTTTGTGATCAAGGGTCGAGGGTTACGAATTTGTTGCGAGAAAACTATGGTGGCCCTTCAAAGGTACAACAGTTGCTTAGAGTCAGCGTCGAGTCGTTCGGGGCACTTACTCATCAGAGCTCAGCAGAAGGCAAGTGGGGAGGTCATTCAAAACAAAATGTGACCACTCCTTAGAACTTTCCAGGCATTTATGGGAGCTGGGCTTAATTGAAGGTTTACTACATGATGGCAAGTTACTTTGTTTTAGAATAGGGACCTGCGATCACAAGCTGGAAAATTGCGTATGCGGCTCTTTTGTGCGCCACCATCTGGAAACAAACAAAAAATTTGTTTTCTGATAGCAATATTTTCCTACGCTCATCATTGTTTTATTACAAAAAGATTGTAATTTTAATTATGACCATCTTGATGTAATGGCGACATGGTAAAAAATGCAACCGGACACATTCGCTTAATTTCAAGTGATTGTACCGAGTACTTTTGGTGAAAAGTTCTGCTTCATACTTTACCTAGGTCCTTTGTGACAAGCTAAGATTCGGTGCTTGTGATTTAGTTAATGAATGTAGAATTTATTTCAAAATCAGGAGAAGGAAGTCCATCAAAGCTCTTGGTGCTCCGCGAACTTTTATTTTCTGATTGGCCTTTGAATGCTACGCGAAGATCTATTCTGTTTTAAGAAACTCGATACATGGAACACAAAGTGGACAACACTTTGCTTTTTGTCTGTGGGTTGTCCACATTTAGTTTCTCCTTTACATTGGTCAAGATCTTAAAAGTTCACCAGCTAGCCTGCATCTTTTCTATTATTTCTAACACTGCATATGAGGGTCAAAAAATGCTATAAATTATTGGCAGTCGAGAGCCGTGCACAAGTTTTAGTGTCCCTGGTTTTCTGTGTTTATTTCATACACTTGTACGTGCAGCCTAGTATCATTCAGTGACTGCTGGTGGTGCGATCGACGGGATGCCGACCGGCAATTCAGCCTACTACAATAAAAATTAGTAACGGAGATGTCAGGGGCGGGATCACTTTCGGCTTATTGGCTGGGTATACCGACTGGCCATGTGTGGATGTCACTTATAATGTGTTGCTAAAACA